TCGTTCGTCATGCTGCGTGATCCTTTTACTAATCACAGTTTTCTTCACTAGGGTTTTGGGAGAGGGAGGTGTGTGTGTGTGTGTGTGTGTGTGTGTGTGTGTGTGTGTGTGTGTCGGGGGAAGGTTTGTGATTATTTAAATATAAAAGCAATAACCTGAACACACAAGAACAGTCACGGTCACCTTCTTGCAGCTCCATTTTGCGTCTCCCCTGCCTGGCCGAGGCTGTTTCGGAGAACTTCCGTGTCAAAGTAACCTTGAGGGGATTAGGTATTATCTCACGTCTGAATAATATCAACCCCACCCACTGTGACGTGCACACAAACACACAGGGTTAGCTTTTCTGCACGCTCACGGTGTTAACTAATCAGAAAATTAAGCTCATTTTCTTGCATCCACGTCCTCGGAGCGCTCGGCATAAGCTTGGTGTCATCACATCCCGCCGTGATCCACTGTTCAGTCTCTCTCTCTCCCCTAATGAGGAGTGGGTAAATATCAACTAGACAAAACCAAAAGTGTTCTGGGATCAATTAACAGAGACGTGCCCGCAATGATAACAGCAGAGAGTCGACATTCAGTACCTTCTAAAAAATAAATAAATAAATAAATGCATGCAAATTGTTACAGGAGTCTCTGCTAATACCTGGCAAATTAACGCGGAAACCTGTTAAACTTAATGAGTTTCTGCAATGGCTCCTCTCACATTATCTCTCATAAAATCACAATTATTAACACTTTTTTTTTTTTTTTATCTTGATTTATCATGATTCCAACAAAAAGCAATGGAATCTGTTTCCCAGACATGGATTAAGATTAGAGTAAGCTATTTATTATTTTTTCTTTTTTTTACTTGGGCTGTTTAATTAAAATGAGCTTTTATCCCAAGACAAGGGCTAATCCAAATATAGCGATTCTGTTCAATAAGGCGTAAGTTAATTAGATTTAGTGGTGCAAGTAGACAGACAGAGATATCTTTAGACAAAGAGCTTCTTTCGGATTGTGTAAGCTAAGCTAAGCTAAGCTAGCTGCTATCCAGTCGACCAGGAGCAGTAAGTGGCAGCAACGTGGCTTTCATATCATGCTTGCAGATTTTTAAAAAATAGCAGAAAAAGCCACATAACTACCTTAAATTTAAGAATGCTAAGCTAACGCACAAAGATGCTAATTCTGCACCAGGTCCATGTTTAGCCAATAAATCGAGATACAAACTTATTTGTGTTTTCAGCTTTGACACGCTGCAAGCTGCCGTGTCTCAAATTGGGATTTTATGTGCTCGACCAACACAAAGTAGAGCGTGATTGTGAACTGTAAGAAAATTGTGAAATCTTAACAAAGAAAAAAAAACTCAGAACGTTCTTAAAATCCAAAGCAACCAAACACTTTAGAAATAGGTAAAGCTTAATATTGTCTTCATATGACAGTCATTTTACATCTTATTTTCTATTTTAGATGAGTTAAAAGGCATTTCAGATGTTAAAAAATAGAAAACTCTCTATTAGATTTAGTCAGATTATAAATGTATATTTGCCATTTTCTTCTTCACCACGTTTGTATTTGCAGCTGCAAAATGATCCAATTCACTCATTTAGTTTTACTTATAAAGTATTTATCAGAATGAGTCAGTGACTGTAGTGACCACAACTACACTCTGAAATTCCACTCAGGTGAATTAATAAAATACATTTTCGTGCAACATTTGCTTCCATTTGTTTCTTTAACTCTGCTGAGTGCGGGAGCTTTTCCCGGCCGAGTTGTTAGACCCGCAGTCTGACTCAGGTCAGGACACTTTGCTCCAGAAAGCCTCACCGTCACCTTTCATCCCCCTGACAGGTTTTCCAAACACGTTGTTCCAGACACCGTCTTTTCAAAGCCTCGACACAAAACAGTCTTAACACGAAACCCCGCAGAAAACGAGATTGCACTCATTTTTTTGCTGTTTTCAGGCTCACTGACGTGAAAGAAGAATCTGTAAATTGAGCATCACGACGCAGTTTTGCGACATTAAACAGGCGGCCGAGTTCGCATCAGAGCTTCACAGGTGGTCGGCGTGAGGTTTTGAAACTTCTTTTTTTTGGGGGGGTTTCCACTGCTTTTTCTTCCAGCAGTTGTCATTTTACCCATTACAAAACTATTTGGCTGACATCATTTTACGACAGAAACGCACCGCTTAAAGTTGAAATAGTTGGATTGAGATGTAGCTGAATTTAGTACACGTTTCTGCTTTGCGCCGATTTTAGCGCGATACTTTTCATTTTAGGAAGGTTTTTAAAAATAAATAAATAAAAAAGACTCAAAAGAGCAACAGGGTATTGGTTGCATCAGTGGAATAACACTAACAGTTTCACAGATTCCTATTACAGTAATAGGGAGTTGGCCCTTTTCACTGGCGCCATTTTATGCTGTAATTGCTGGGAAAGCAACAGTGCTGCTAGCGGTCTCAATTAGACTCCTTCAGTCAATGCAAAACATAAAAAAATGTTTTATGCATTGGATAACCACCAGTGGCAGAAGGATTAGCAAAGGGCACGTTAACCAGCGCCAGTGAAATACGCTGAGTAATGCTTCCTGTTCACTCTCATGAACACAAATTTTATTCAGTCATACCTCTTTTTTTTTACACCTCTGTAAGTCATTCTTGTCAGTTTTTTTTTTTTTTTTTTGCTTTAAAAACCTTGCTGAAGGAAATCTGACTAGAAAGAAAAACATCAACCCTCAGATTTTCACTGCGAATGACTAAGATAAGAGAATATCGCAGAGTTTTCGTTGAGGCCCACATTTCATGGATGATTTTTACCATTTGTCCCCCTGAAAAGTTGTCAGAAAGCTGGTTGATAATGGCCTTTTGATTCGTGGTGTTCGGTCAGTGGGCCAGCGCCGGGTGCTGCAGATCTGTGCTGCCTTCAGGAGAGTGGGACAGCAGAGTGTCGTCCATAAAACGTCACCCTCATGGCACTTACTGTGCAAGCCAGAGCTTTCAGTGGAAAAACAAGAGTTCCAGATCCTCCTAATGCCGCACAAATATGAATTATATCTCAAATTGAAAGTGTCACGGAGTCACTGAACAGCCTAGTGATATAAACACTGACATAAAAAATAATACTGAAGACATAAATATATCAAATCTAATTAAAAAATAAGTAACTAATATATATCCGTACTGTATTATATATTAGTATATTTCTTAGTACTAGATGTGGTCCCAACAAACCCATGGCACTTTAACAATATTATTTTACCTTTTATCTGAAAATAGTGTCTGTTTGTTCTTGTCGTACACTCCTCTCTGTATGTATTATTGCTCTTAAGGTCTTGCCATACCAGTTTATTCCGCTGTATTTGCTTTAGTTTCTCAGTTTGTTCTTGCATTTTGCTCTTCATTCAATTCCATTTAGTTTTATCTGAGTTATTACTATGTTCTCTTTAGTTTCTTTCACATCTGGTTCGTTGCTCCATTTTATGTCCTGGTTCAGACGTTTCAGCGTTTTGCGCAATGTGCGAGTCGTTTTTGTTTGTTTTTTTGTTTTTACCCCATACTGGAAGAGTATCTGGAAGAGTATCGATGGAGAAAAAGCAGACAGACGAAAGCATTTTAAAACAACGGAGAAAAAAAATCCCTTTATGCTGATGATTTTAGTAGTTGCATGTCCATAAGAGCGATATTTTGATATTTAACAATTCGGCTCTTTGTCTCGAAATGCTTGCTGTGTTTAGCCGAGTTAATGAATTAAATAAAAGCTAATTTGCAACAAAGTCATGTTTTCAGTATATACATTAAAAATATATTTTTTAATCTTTCTTTTTTGACTAATACCATGATCCCAGTAGATCTGAGGATCTGAGGATATGAAAAGCCTTTTTTTCCTGACTGGGCCCTAAGCAACTGGTGGGAATGTAGCTGGTGTTTAAAGACTGTCATGGATGCTTGATGACCCAAACATTGTCACTCTTTGCTTCGCCTCTCTAAATCTGAACTCCCTTAATATCCAGCCCACTCTGCATGCTGGCAGATAAATTTGGTTTCTCCTCCAGCTCCGTCATTGTCCCAGATGATTTAGTTGTTTTTTTTTCGTTTTGTTTTGAACTATGGCACTGACTGTAGATATTCAGATGTTCATGCAAGAAGCTGTTAGGAATATAATATAACCTCATGGAACTGTTTACATGCATCAATGCCATGATTTTTAATGGCTTACTGCATAAACAAAGTTATTCATCTGTGATTTCATTTCGTTTCGCAGTGGAAACGCTGCAGTCGGAAAATTGTGTTTTTTCAACATTGGCAGAATACATACAAAGATTTGAGCACATTTGTACTGGAAATGCACCTTGATTTCTGAGGAGTGGCGAGGAGGAAATGGACTTTGTTGTATGTCACAGGTCAACTTTATGGAGACAGGAAGTCATGTATTACTGGTTAGACCTTACCAGACAATCTGATCAACTTTAAAAAAAAATGAGGCTGAAATTCAGGGTTTTAATTCAGAGATGAACTTCGTGTATTTTGTAGAATTATTCGGGGTCATTTCTTTGCGAGACGAATAAATGCACTAGAGTTGAGAATTAGACAATAAAAAATTCTCAATGCCAGATTCATGCAGTTTCGATGTCAACACCAAATTATCCTGGAGAACCATGGGGTGAACAGGCAGACCCCAGGGTTGGTTTGACCCCAATGACCTCTTTCTTGCGAGCTAAGAACGCTTCCATCTGCACTATTTTTTAATCCTCCCGCAGTTTTAGCGCGACACTCAGGAAGACGTTCGGCAAATGTCACGGTCGGACAGTGGGGAAGCGAGGGGACAGGTTGTCCCGTCAGTCTGTCAGATCCCAGAACCACAAAACACACACACACAAAAAATTCATCAAAGCAATTCGGCCCCGCTGGACTGAGCACAGAGTGAAAAAAATACAAATGTCCCCATCTCTTAAGACCGCAGGAGGGTTAAAGATGAATTAAGTATTCCAGTATTATACAAATACTTGATTATCATACCCAAAAATGAATAACACAAAACTGCCATTTTTATTTATTTTGTTTTTTTTTAACAACAATCAACTGCCAACAAGACAGAATCTTTGATACTTTATTGTTCTTTTAGCACACACCATTTGTCATTTTCTTTGGTGTTCCCATCCAGTCTGGTGTAGTTTCGATCGTTGCAATTCAGTAATTCCACATAATTCACACTGTTCCTGAATTATACATTCAGTCCAAAAAACGTCTCCCCATCACTTGCGCAAACAAGATTTTTTTGTCCCCCCCCACCAACTAAAATGGACTAGTATGGTAAGACAGCTGCTCCGTTCGCACAGAAGAAACAGCAAATCTCCATCAGGCTGGACAAAGCGGCTCATAAAAGCACAGAGGGCTGGTGCTTCCAGCCCCTTTCTCGACCGACGGGGGTTTTTAAGCTCTGCCCCCACCAAGCACAAAAGTGGGACAATGCAGGGGAGGCCGGGCAGAGGACACAGCAACCTGAAGTGGGTCATTAAAATGCATGAAAGTGCAGCTCGGGACTCAAAATAAGAAACAAAACCACCAGATCAGTCGGGTTTCAATAAGATGTCATTTTTATTGCACATTCCTGTTTGGTCTTGCAACGACCTCTCACCTTTTGAACTTTTTAAGACCTTGGTCTCTGACCAAACGCTTCCAAGCTAGGAGTGGGACACACACACACAAAAAGAAAAAAAAAAAAAAAAAAAAGAAGTCGCTTGCAAGTAAGCGGATCACGGGTCAGATTCCCTTGAGAAGTTACTGATCCTAGACCTGTTGCTAAGGGTCGCCTGCGTCCAGGCTGTGTTGACTCGAGTCAACCATTTAAAGATGAATTAAGTCAGTCGATTAGGACCAACGGGGAAGGGGCTGTGGTGGCGTCACGGAGGGGAGCAGGAAGGAGCGAGTGAATGTGTTGCACTCCCGTAGTCTTTTTTTCACCCCCAACGAAATCACACCTTCCTCCTATCGCACAAATACATAAGCTATCTTTTTTTTTCTTTTTTTTTTTTGTTGGTTTGTTTGTTTCTTCTCATTTTCCGGCAACAATTCCTGCAACATGCTTCAAAAATCATCGTTTTGGCAAACCACAGATAAATTAAAACACAGACATTCAATGTAACACGATGTGACTTTTTTTCCCCCCCAGAAAGAAATAGAAAGCCCAAACAGTACAGGACCCAACAAAAAGAACAAAAAATTAATATAAATTAAATCAACAGAAAAGAGAAGCATTTGCGCTTTTGTTTTCTCTGTGTTTTTCTTGCTTTTTCTTGAAAAAAAAACGATATACAGTAGCTAGCTACCAATCACGTAACACATGCAGATATATTACAAATAGTCAGTTCACCCAGTTAGTTTCTGCAAACTACCAGTCTAAACTATGTCACAAAAAAAGGTTTCTCTTGAAACCAGCAAACACTCAGCTTTTTGAGATATTTTGTTGTAACAATTACTCAGATTACAGTTTTGTCTGAAATGACGAGCCAAACTCGTAAAAAACAACAAAAAATCACTAGCACGCTTTCGTACATGATCACATACCAGACGGTGTCGCTGTTTCTGTCTCCGTTAACCATTTTTTCGCTTTATTTCATTTGCTGTCGGCCGCCAATCACAATTCATCTCATCATTTAGCTACATATTGCCACAGCGGGCGCTCCCTCGCCTCGAAAGCGAAATGGGAGAGGAAAGTGACGACGTGTCAGTTCCGAGCGGCAGGTTGACGTCCTCCGTCCTCCTGCTCTTTCCTAACGACGGTCTGTGGAAATGTCAGACCAATTAGCGGCCTTTCCTTTGACATTTACCTGGAACGTAGCAAAACAAGCCGGACTGGACTCTGCCCAGAAGGCCCGTAGCCGATACTGCGGCTGCACGCTCGATTTCCGACACCGAGGAACTCCTTTCGAAAGGAGGGAACTCAAGGTCTCAACAGGTGGAGCAAATAATGGCCGTCGCTCAGCCACTTTGCACAGCCACCTGACATTTTCCCAACAGCAGCCGGAAGTAACCAAAGAGCTTCTTCTTCTTCTTCCCTTCCCCATCCGCATCGATCAGGAGTTCTCTAATGCTTTCGTTCACTCAAAGCGCCGGCGTTACGGTGAGGTCAAACGCCTGCGTGGAGCAAAAGTTTGGGTTTTTTCCTGCTAACACTTTCTTCTTTACATGAAGGGTCGACAGAGATCGTCTGTGGTTGAAACTCCACTCAAGTTTACCATAATGACACAGACGGTGAGACGAGACGGCTAGTGGTTCAGCTAAAGAAGTTAGCGACCCCTTCGAGTTCGTCGCGTTGCTCGCAGTTACGTGTTTCACCGTTTAAAGGGTTTTCTCTTCGCAAACACACACACACACACACACACACACACACACACACGCACGCAGACACACCGAGGCCCGGCCTTCAGCTGTACCATCTGGTATCTAAATCATGGGAATTGTATCCTCCTTCCACTCCTACAGAACAAGCTAACATGAACGCAGAGAGAGAAAGAAAGAAGGTGACTGACTGTCATTCTGTTTATCGTACATAAAGCAACGTGTGACATTTTTTCTTAAAAATCCGTCTACGCAACACAGCTCTAAGTTTAGCCACGAGAGGAGGAAAGAGAGAGAAAGAGAAACAAAGCAAGTTAAAGAGGAAAGAGTAAGAGCACAGCTCCATGTAAATTACAATCGTTAGGTTGCATTGAGCCGTGAGCAACGGCACAGTCGAAAGCAAGAGGGAGAAAAATAAAGACGAAAAAAAAAACGAATGAGGGAACAGGTGGGCATAAATGCCAGCGCGCTGCCCGTCTATTAAACATTAACGGCTTAATTTTTATGTCAGTGACCCGAGAGCTACACGAATGGTTGGTTGTAGCCAGTTCAGTGCTAAAGAGAGGGGACTGGTGAGGAAGATGAGTCTCCTTTATTCAGTAGTCTTTCACATGGGTTGAAAAAAAAGTTCGCATATCCGATTTATCCGGCTGCACGTACGCAAGTGTGTGCTGGGAAAATAAAATGAAATAAAGGGAAAATAAATAAATCAGACGGAAGTGATGCACATTCCCAGCTGATATCTTTTTGAAAGTGAAACATTCAGACACGGACACGCTCCTGCCTCTCTGAGCTAGTAGAAAGATTCCCTGGACAAGATGGTGAAGAACAAGGACAAAACAAAATGCTTCTGCAGTGCTGTGGTGACAGTAATAATGCAAAAAAGTTACCAAAATAAAAAATGCTGAGTGAAACAGCCAAAAGTGAAGATGAGTCATTTTTGAGTTAGCGTGGTGTGTTGTTTTGCGTGTCGAGGCTAGCTTGTTTTTTTTCTTTTGTTTTTTATCTTCTTCTTCTCTCCAGCTAGCACGGGGCGGGTGGAGGGATGACGGCTGGACACTCAGCCGTCGGAAATGGGCGGGGACACCCAGCCGTACTTCTCGTGGGTCTTCACCAGGGACTTGAACGTGGCCTCGGCCTCTTTACGACTAAAAGCTTTCTTGGACTTGCCTGATTTCCTGCAAATGCGGCCCTGCAAGACACAGAAAGACGGGAAAAGGTTAGTAAAGTGTGGCGTAACAACGTTACAGAAACACAGATCCTAATTATGGTCTGTAGGATATTAGTATCGCAGTCTAGACACGCGCACACTTTCTATTTTCTGGACTTGAGCTTCCTTCAGTTGTATTCAGTGATAAAGATCGATGGAATGGTTTCAGAAACCTCTGATGTCAAGAAATACCTTTGGGAATCGAATTTAAGGATGTTCCACCTACGAGTTCAGAAACTGAAAGTATTTCCTCTTTCGTCAGGTAAGTTTGTTTCTTTTTACGTTCTGTGTTTTTCAGAGACGGTACCACGTATTGTGATGCAGTAGTGCATGTATGCCAGTCAGCCATATTGGATTAGGAGATCAGAGTTGGTGTGCAAACGTCGACTTACTGGCGTTGAGACGACAACTTCTGGGGACTTTCCTGTAAAATTTTAACAACTGTATTTTGGAAATTTCCAGCCAAAAAGGACATTTTTAGTCAATCAGGCAGGACCAACGGAGGCTAATTAATATGTTTTTGGTTTGTTTAGCTTTTTTTTTTTAATTATTCATATAACATCGGCTGATTTAAAGAAATGAATGAGGATGGCTTTTCTCCTGAGACCTGCTGCTGCTCCAACAGAATCAATGCCGTTTCAGATCTGAAGCTGCTGCCTGGAGATTCTAACGCCGTGCCTAATAATTATTGTCATTATTGATTAGAAGGCCAAACATCTTAATTTAAAATAGATCGGTCGTTCTCCTGAGCATGTCGGAAAGCGTTGAAATAATCACAATCTATCAGGGAGGTCTTCATTCATTCTGCCGGTCATATTTACACAGAAACGAGAGGCAACAATCTGACTGCACACAGGAAACTTGATCCCTCAAGTTTGAAAAGAAAAAGTAAAGAATTTCATCAGAACTTTCTATAAAATCTATTGTTTCATCTCAACATCCTCGAAATAATTATAAAGAGGCAAATTTTACACCCCTATCAAACCAGTTTATGAACATTGATAAACTGGTATGTCTTGGTGGTTATGTGTTTTCATTGATAATGGAGAAATTGGTAAACTTTCACACCTTATTTAACTCTATCCTAAAGAAATGATATTGATACGAATTGGTCGATGCGAAACATCCAATAGCAGACGTTTCTCCTTTTGGCAGCAGGAAAGATGCCGCCAAAACGAAGCCATGAAAAGATCGAAATGGCTAAACGACCAAAACAAAATGACCCGTCTGCTTCCCATTCCGTCTAAAAATACACATCAGATATCACTGCTTCTTTCCGATCACTGCTAATTAACGCCACTTGATGGAAACAGACAATTTAAAGGGTAGCAGAATCTCTGCTTTGATAAAAATGAGTGATTTGTTCGAACACTGGCATTTGATATCTTGTTCGGTCGAAAAGAAATATGGCTACTTTGTTTCGCAGCGTTGTTCTACTCCTGCTGGCAACACAGGCCAGATTTACAAAGCTACAATAATAAAAAAGCAACAAAACCAACAAAAAAAACCCCAGCCCACACGACACACACTGATGAAGTTAATGGCGAAGGCTCTGCCGCAGGGGGAGAGATGTTGACAGAACGAGCGGCCTGAACCCGGGGCTGACCGGCGCCGGATCAATGTTTAAAAGGCAGAGAACAAGCTTTTAAGACGTCAGCTTCAATCAGAAGCCAAAACCAGACGCAGCCGCTGCAATAAATGATGGAAAAGCTGTACGCGTGCGCACAATGCAAAGTCTTTCCCCGGCTCGGCGCAAGAAGCGTCGCAGCGCCTGATGCATTTTCACCTACCGAACTGTAGCCTGGGACTAAGAATATATGTGGGGGAAACATAAATTCAGCAGAACGACGAGAGCTGCTGCTTCTGCTTTTATCGGGGGCGTTAAAGTCTTCCCTGAAGAAGCCTGCGTAGGCGGTGCCGACAGAAAAGGAGACAACTGTCTCCGTGCTGCTAGGAGACATCTATGGCCATGACAACAACGCTCTGATTCATACCAGCAGCCACGCTTTTGCATGAGTTAAAAAAAGAATCACCTCCGGGCTTTCGAGTTTCTTTAAGCTCAGCAGCATTTACAAGAAATAAATAAATAATAATAAAAAAATACAAACAGTACTGTGTTACGGTAAGTCTGCTGTTGGATTGTGTTTGTAAGGAGTACAGGAACGCTGCAGCGTTTCTCTTCGCCAGGCATGTTTTGTTTTCTTGGCAGAGGAAAGTGGCATCGAGTCTTTGCACTGAAACCAATACTAATGAAATTTCCTCAGAGGTTAGGTCCTCTGCATGCTGCAGTGCAGTGCGGCGCGGCGCAGAGCAGCAGCAACCCCGTGTCATCACACGTCGCCGCCGCGCGCACTCCTGCACCGCCGCGCACAGCAGTCAGGGAAAGAGGCGTCCCTCTGAAGCCACGCAGAAAGCTCATAAACGACTACTGAAGCGTTTTCTTCTTCTATTAGTTGTTAAAGACACACGTCTCTGGAATTAGCTTTGCTGGATTTGTGCTCGGTTGCATAAAAAGACAGATTTGGTTTGAATAGTTCTCTGTACAATGTGCAAATCTGAACATCTATGAACCAGAGCTACGACGGCCAACAGACAGAGAGAGCATGTGCAGATCCTTTCTGCAGGATTCCGATGACCCACTTTTCTTATTCACAGTGGGGAAAACGGTTCAAATGACGTAATCTGCTTTTCTAGTGATTTGGTGTTTGAATTTGAGCTGTGATTCCACAATAAATAAAAAGCGTCAAAGATTACCTGAGAACATGTTTAATCAAGACTGGTAACTTCTGTCCAGATCTCAGGCTCTGAAGCCTGAACTCTAAACCAAGACACTTGCTCTTGACCTTGAATACAAACTGCATTCATAAGTTGCTAAAGTCCCTCTTCATGTTCTTTTAAATGGCAGAAAAACATTAGTTGAGGTGAAACTAGGTAATTGGCTCTAAATACATCCTAAGTGTTTTAAAGCATTACGAAAGAAGAAAAGCTCTGCTTCTAGAAAAAAAATCACAGAATTGCAAACAGGTCAGTAACTAAGGGCAGCAGTAGCACCTTTTATTTTGAAATATAAGCCTTATTTATGCATAAACCTTTAATTTCACACCTGTTATGATGCATTGTTTAAAGTAACTTTAAATTATGTTAGTTATTGTTGTGAACTCAAAGGATCTCATTTGGAAACACACACATCATGCATTCCTGAACTATGTTGGGCTGTACACTGGGGTTGGGTGTTAAATGTAGCAAAATTTAGCTACATCTTGACAATTGTAATTTGCCTGAAAAATCCAATATTTACTCCACGTGCTCTGGGCCAGGATGTGCTGTAGTGGGAAAAACAATGCAACACCCTCTGAACATTTCGGAGCATATTGCTTCACGTTGCTCATGAAACTGACTATTATTTTTGAAGAGATTCTACACTAATAGCCTAAAATCAGCCATAGACATTGAATTTACCCTCTTCCCTAAAATGTCACAAAATGAATGTTAAAGGAGTACATTATATGCCCTGAAAAGTTTACACATTTTAAAAGTTTGTACAAACCGTTTCTCTTGCTATTGCTTACCTCATAAGCAATAGTCCTGGAAATCTGATGCATAATTTGTGGTTGTGTGGAAATTAAGTAAATGAAGAATCGGTAAAGCGAGAAATATAAGATTATGGAGAGAACATATGTAATATCCATGTTCCCGAGGCTTCCTATGGCCTTGTATAACTTTGCAAAGCAGTTGAATGAAGTTGGAGATAATTAAATATATATATATATATTCAATGCTTTCTTTCAAAGAACGAAAGCATTGAAAGAAAGTCTTGTATGTTAGCAGTCTTGTATGTTATTTTGGTGTCTTTGTTTAACTAACAGGAGTAATTACAGTCTAATTGCAATTACAATCTGTTTTGTAATTTCTGAGATGTCTATCTATCTGGAAAGACATCGAGCTAGCTAGTTAGAAGTCTATCTAACTAGGTATCTATATGGATGGATGAATAGATAGATAGATAGATGTCTATTATGAGCATGTGAACCCTAACTGGACAGTGAATGTCTGTTAATTAAAATTTGATTTTAGGCCTTTATTACCATGTGAGACACATCATGGAATATTCTATCGCCATCTGATGGAATACCAGTGTGCCCTAATATGTCCCTGCTTGGCTATTTTGGGCCGAAAGCTACGCAGCGGATAAAAGGGGATGAGGTGCTAACAGAATGATCTGGAGATTAGGGCTGCAGTTTCCATTCTTGTAGCAACTGTGGCCTCGTTTCACCGCAGGGCTTAGAGACGCTCGCATACATCCCGGCCAACCCGTCTCAGCAGCTCCGAGCGTGGCCTATTAATTCTCCGGTTAGATAGTCCATCAGGGCAATTCAAATCATTTCAATGTGGAGTTTTGAATCATTAAATGAAACCAGGTGAATGCACAGATCGGTGAGTAATGTCACTGCGGACAGTAAGACGATGTCTGAAGCCTGTTAGCGCCGCAATGACAAACAGTAGGAGTTTTATTTTTCTACGTCATTTGTTATGGAAAAATAAATGGATGACTCACTGGGTGACTCATTCAGACAGTCATTCTATTGCAGTGGTGCTTGTGGACTTGATTTATGGTCCTACTTTTCATAAAGCCACATTAAACGGTATTGTTGTATTTTTCCTCAAATGGCCCATCTGATCATGTAAAACCTAAACAACATGCGGCCACTTTAAAACCTGCTTGGCCTCAAGTCTGAAAAATGTTGATTTAAAAGTTCAATGCAAACGAATCGTACACCTCAAAATGACAGCCCGTTGCCTCCGATTACAATTATTCTGATATTTTACTATTAAAGAATTAGAACACCAGTGAGCCTGATAAAGGGTTCGAGTCGAGAGGCTTTGATTTGTCCAACAAAAAAGCCAAGCATCTGTTTCTGCATCCTAAACAAAATCCACCACAATTAGCCAGAGTTTGAAAGAGACAGTAGGTGGAATACAAG